TATAATCCCAGCACTTTGGGAGGCTGGGAAGGGAAGATCCCTTGAGGATAGGAGTTTGGGACCAGCAATATAGCAAGACCCCATTAAAATAATAATAATTAAAAAATAGCTAGGCCAGGTGATGTGTGCTTGTAGTCCAAGCTACCGGCGGGACGGGGGTGAGAAAACCACTTGAGCCTGGGAGGTTGAGGCAGCAGTGAGCCCAGATCACAATACTACATTCCAGCCTGATGACAAAGCGAGACCCTATCTCAAAACGAAAAAACCCTCCCCCGATAAATACATATTAAATAAAGGAACAATTGCCCCGCCCCCTCCCACTCAGAGGCCCACTCCCTTCAATGTCAAACTTGGTCCCATAAGTCAAGTACTATTCAGACGTGACCTTCGCACAGGGGCCTCCACCTTCCTCATCCTCAGTAACCCCTCTTCCCCACCTCACTTACTTCTTTCATTCCCTTTATCACAATATAAAATTATCTCATGTATTTGTGTTTACTTGTTTGTTATCTGCTTTCTCCAGTGAATGTAAACTATTCCTTTCCATGTTTTCAGGGTAGGTCACTTACGGACTTTAAGTAGATGCTCAACAAACTTTTGTGGCCGGAATGAACAGCAAGGGAGGAAATGAATCTCCAAGGCTCTGGAACCGGTAGACATAAGAAGATAAGGAAGAAATCTAAGTTGATCTCAGAGTAATTCTGTGTGGTAAACAGGGTGGTTTTTTTCTACCATGGCTGTTTAGAGACGAGGAAAGCTAAGTTTACAATGTTGTGACCTCATCAAAATAGCTTGTCTGGTGAAGTCCATATCTGAACTTGGGTCTGACTCTTTTTCCAGTTCCCTTTCTTCTGAATCATGCGACTTTCCTATTGAAACTCATCTACGTAGATGCTAAAAGTATCAGCAATCTCTCTGCAGATTGCTCCAAATTCTCACAAGGTGGATCCCGGCTGTTTAGAAGCCATCACTGAATCTCCTGATGTGTTCGTCTTCACAATGCTGCAGTTACATCGCTTTCCGGAGGCCGCAGCAACCAGTAGCAGCCTGGTATGGTAAGTTTCTCGGAGCCTTCATCCCACAGCCAGGCCTCTGGCTTCCCTCTCTCAATTGTTACCTTAACCATGCCCTGGAGACCTAAGGAGCAGGTTTATTTTGACTGGGAGATTGTTAAACTGCAGGGGACAAACCAGAGATACTGGCAGGCTGTGATTTCCACTGCTCCACGTGGCCACGGGGTGCTGAGAATAGCCAAAGCCACTTCCTGCTGGAGGAGGAAATGGCAGTTTCCTCAACTCCCGGAAACCTTGCTTCCTCTCTGGTGCCTAGCTCCGTGTTAACCAATTAGACAGCCTCTTCCCACCCCAGCCCCGAGACCTGGCCCAAGTCTGAAGAAGACATCCTGTTTCCCCTGAGGAAGCGGCCCAGATTGAAGGAGCCACTAGGGTACTTGATGGGGGAGTGACTAGGGAATGGGGCAGGAAGGGCTGACAAGTACTAATAACAGTGTCATCTAGTGTCGGCTATGCACTGCGCTCCCACTGCCACCCCCACTCCTTTGTCCTGACCCTCAGAGATCTCAGTACACTGGGCAACCTCTTACTGGCCTTTGTAATCCAATGTCTTCCCATGATCTCGTCTGATCCTCAGGCTGGCTCCTCCATCCACCGTCTTTCTTCCATATACCATCCCAGTCCAAAAAACAATGCCAGCCTTTTCTTGGTGTCTACAGAAAACAGGCTTACACCACACATTCCTGGAGTTTAGAAATGCTGCTGAGCACTGAGTGGGCGCCAGATACCATCACATTGCCTGGCAAATAGCCTCGTGGAGACAGCTCTGGAGCCAAACTTCCTGAGTTCAAATCCTGCTTCATACCCTCTGTCCCAGCTGGCTATACCTTGTTGGGTGGGTCATTTAACTTCTCCGGGTCTCAGTTTTTTCTCTATTTCCCTCTATCTGTAGTAACTAGCCCTTCAGGATTATAGGAAGATGCAATGAAACAAAGCACTGGGCTTGTAGCTCAGTACTCAGTGACGTTCATTATTGTTTTACTCTGCTTCCTCCTGCATTTCAGAAGGAGGGGGAGAAATCCACAAAACCCTTTCCTTGTCTTTTGAAGAATAATAGCACTCCTTCCCTGAAACCTTAGCACTAGCCAGTATCCATGGTTTGGAATTTCAGTTTCTACAGGAACCAGTCTTCTGAGGATATTTATCTGAATGCTCTACTTGTGTGTGGGATTTGAGTGAATAAAAACTTCTCAATTTCATTATTATTTATTACCATTTAATATCAACCACTCACCAAATAATTTATTAATTCATTTTTTTAAACAAAATTCATATTTTGGAACAGTTTTAGACTCCTGGGAAAAACTGCAGAGGTAACAGAGAATTCCCAGATATTTCACACCCAGTTTCCCCAAATATTAACATCGCATGTGAATGTGGTACATTTACTACAATTAATGAACCAATATTAATATGCTATAATTAACTAAAGTCCGTGGTTTCTCCTTAGGTTTTACCTAGTGAACTTTTTCTTTCTTTTTCTTTTTTTTGAGGAGGGATGGAGTCTCTCTCTGTCACCCACACTGGAATGAAGTGGTGAGATCTTGGCTCACTGCAACCTCTGCCTCCCAGGTTCAAGCAATTCTCCTGCCTCAGCCTCCCAAGTAGTTGGGATTGCAGGTGCCCACCACCATGCCTGGCTAATTTTGTGTATTTCTAGTAGAGATGGGGTTTCACCATGTTGACTGGGCTGGACTCCTGACCTCAGGTGATTCAACCTCCTCGGCCTCCCAAAGTTCTGAGATTACAGAGGTGCACCACCAGGCCCGGCCCCTAGTGTCCTTTTTCTGTTCCTGGATCCCTTCCAAGACATCACATTACATTTAGTCGTCAAGTCTCTTCAGGATCCTCTGGCCTGTGACAGTTACTTATTTCTATGACCTTGACAGTTTTATGGAGTATTGGCCAGGTATCATGAAGAGTGTCTCTCAATTAGTCTTTGTCTCATGTTTTTCTTTTGACTAGATAGACTGGGGGTCTAGGGCTGAGAGGAAGAACACTACAGAGGTGACATTTTGGTACATACTATAGACATGACTTATCACTGCTTATGCTGAACTGATCACCTTGCTTAGGTCATATTTGCCAGGTTTCTCCACTAATGTTACTGTTTTTTTTCCCTCCATCTTCAGTGTATTCTTTGGAAGGAGGTCACTATGCACAGCACACATTTAAGAAGTAGGGAGTTATATACTCCACCTCCCACAGGGTGGAATATCTATATAAATGATTTGAAATTGTGCTGCACAAAAAATTTGTATATTCTCCCTCATCTGTTATTTATTTAATTATTTATTTACATCAGTATGGACTTGTGGGTATTTATTTTATACTTTGTATTTTAATCCTACATTATTATTATTATTATTATTTTGAGACAAGGTCTCACTCTGTAGCCCAGGCTGGAGTGCAGTGGTGCGATCTCAGATCACTGCAGTCTCCACTTCCTGGACTCAAGTGATGCTCCCATCTCAGCCCTGCCAAGTAGCTGGAACTACAGGCATACGTCACCATGCTCAGCTAATTTTTTCATTTTTTTGTAGAGACAAGGTCTCCCGATATTGCCCAGGCTGGTCTCGATCTCCTGGGTTCAAGCAATCCTCCTGCGTTGGCCTCCTAAAGTGCTGGGATTACAGGCATGAGCACCATGCCCAGGTCCCTTATTTATTTTGTTGTTCAAGTGTTCCAGATTTGGCTATTGAGAGCTCTTTCAATTGGTTCCTCCCTCATTTTGATACACCCATATCATTGTTTTAGTTTTGCTTTGTTTTTGAGAAATTTCTTACTTTCCAGTGCTAGGAGATACTCTAGTATCATCTTATAAATGTCCAGCCCCAGTCTGAATCTATATTCAGCCATTTCTCCAAGGATTGCTGGTTCTTTGTACTGCACAATAGTACTGAGAACCAAAATATGGACTCTGGATATGCTTGTAGCTACTGAGATGTCACTGCTTCTAGGCTCTCTCAGCTGACAGAGCCAGGAAATATGCATGTGTGTATACTAACCTGTGTATATATCCATGTCTATACATTTCCTTTATATAAACATCTGTCTCTATATTAAGCCAAACATGGTTTATACTGATATCTCCAACTCAAATCCATTATCTTATAGATCATTCTAGCTTCCTCCTCTTTGTTACCTATGCAGCCCCCTCCAACAGTAAAAAAACTGGCTTCCCCCAGTTACCATCCTTTTATTTATTTGTTCAATCCCAGCACACCTGTATAGCAGTATCATAATTGTTAACTCATATCCCACAGGAAACAACTTTTCTTTTTTTTGAGACGGAGTTTCGCTCTTGTTACCCAGGCTGGAGTGCAATGGCGCGATCTCGGCTCACCACAACCTCCGCCTCCTGGGTTCAGGCAATTCTCCTGCCTCAGCCTCCTGAGTCGCTGGGATTACAAGCACGCGCCACCATGCCCAGCTAATGTTTTGTATTTTTAGTAGAGACAGGGTTTCACCATGTTGACCAGGATGGTCTCGATCTCTTGACCTCGTGATCCACCTGCCTCAGCCTCCCAAAGTGCTGGGATTACAGGCGTGAGCCACCGTGCCCGGCCAGGAAACAACTTTTCAACTAGAATACAGTACTTATATATAGTCTCTTTTGCCTTTAATTTTATAGACTCCATTTCCAAAATTACTTAGGTGCACAACAATTTCCTCCACCCCATCGCTGTGGTTGTTTTATACATTTGAGATACAATTAGAATGTTTTACTACTTTATGCATCTGGTCCTGGGTCCCCCTTACATCCTAAATGTTTTTTTAATTCATTTGAATACAAAAGGTTCCCTGCGTGCTGTGAAGCTCTATCATAAATACTTACTGTCATATATCATCCACAATTGTAGTATCGTGCATAATGGTTTCACCATTTTAAAAAATCTCCTGTACCTCATTTGTTCAATACTCCCTGGAATCCCTGACAACCACTTATCTTTTGCCTTTTCTAGAATGGCACACACTCAAAATCCTACAATTTGCAGACTTTTCAGTCCCTTTCTTCACCTAGCAATACACATTTAAGATTCATTCATAGTCTCCTACAGCTTGATAGCACCTTATTTTTTAAATCATGAAATAGTATTCTAGGGTGTATAGGTACCACAATATGTCCACCAGTTCACTTATTGAAGGATATTGTGGGTTTTTTGTTTCAGTTTTTGGCAATTATGAAAATAAAGCTGCTATAAACAATAGAGTGTAGGTTTCTGTGTGAACATTCATTTTCAAATCAGTTGGATCAATACCTAGGAGTATATTGCTGGATCATAGAGTAAGATTAGATTTAGTTTTATAAGAAACTGCCACACTCTTTTCTCAAGTGGCTATACCATTGCTCCGCATCCTCATCAGCATTTAGCATTGTCAGTGTTTTGGATTTTGGCCATTCTAATAGGTGTGTAGTGATATCTTGCGGTTGTTTTAACTTGCAATTCCCTAATGACAAATTATGTTGATCAAGTTTTCACTTGATTATTTCTCTTCTGTATATCTTATTTAGTAAGATGTGTGATTGCACCTTTTGCTCACTTTTTAATTGGATTGTTTGTTTTCTTACTGTTGGGTTGATATGTCTTTTGTATGTAAGTCCTCTGTCAGACATATGTTTTGCAAATATCTTCCTCCATTCTATGGCTTGCCTTTTGACTCTCTCAATAGTGTCTTTCACAAAGCAGAAGTTTTCAATGTTCACGAAGTCCAAGTTACCAGCTTTTTCTCTCGTGCCTTGTAGCTTTGCTGTTGTATCTAATAGCTTATCACCAAACCTTGAATGATTTTAAAGATGCTAGCTTATGGAATTGTCATGCCACTGCTCTTAGGCAGGGGATGCCATTTCCATTTCATAGAAGAAACAGCTTTCTGTCCCATGGATCTCTGCAGGACCTTGAAACAGGAAAAAAGAGAGAATGAGTATGCACCAAGAGAGAACATATAGGCAAAGGGAGGCCAAGATAAACATTAAAAGGCTTCAAAGCTCCCTGTTCAGTCGTAAAATTCATGAGCATTTGACTATCTCTTCCACTGAATAGCTGTATTTGTTTTAATGTAAATACTCTATCATTATTACACACACACACACACACACACACACCCCACCACACCACCACCAGCAGCAATGTTTTGATAAAACTGGTGCTTCATTAGCAAACACCATGTGTACGGACTGAGTGACTATATTCTCTAGCAGCGATACACTTCTCCTAGGAATACTTGTACCTCAGTTTGGGAAGCAAACTAGTCTGAAGGAAAAGGCGAGATTGAGCACCTTGTCAAATGTCATACAGCTAGCATGTGGCAGACCCAAGATTTGAGTCCTGAGTAGACTCCAAAGACAGTGCTCCCAAGGAGCTTTGGGGGTGCAGTATGTCTGCCAGCTTACAGTATCTGTGTCCTTGACCAGACACAGCCTGACTCAGAGGCTGACATCATCCTCATTTCAAAGAGGCACACTTCTCCCTTCACCATTGACCTGGCCTTCCTCTGGCCTTCACAGCCCCTAGAGCTTCAAAGCATGAATTAGGAAAAGGGGGAAAGCAACTCCAGGATGCGTCTGTCATAAATGTGGGGAAAAAAACAGTCTTGGGGGATAATAAAGAATTTTAAAAAAAAAGATGGGCCGGGCGCGGTGGCTCAAGCCTGTAATCCCAGCACTTTGGGAGGCCCAGGCGGGTGGATCACGAGGTCAAGAGATCGAGACCATCCTGGTCAACATGGTGAAACCCCGTCTCTACTAAAACTACAAAAACTTAGCTGGGCATGGTGGCACGTGTCTGTAG